CCGCCAGGTCTTTGCCAGGCTGTGGTTGTCGTTAGACCGTTTTGGGATCCCATTTTGGTTGGCAGGTGAATTCACCACCCATTTTGGGTTACCTATTTTAGTGGTTGGATTGGTTGATGTTCACTGGTACGAGTTGGGTTTTGAGCCATGGCCAGCCGGGCACGCGGCACCTCGCTGAGGACTGAGGCGCCGGCCAAGGCGCCCGCCGCGGCGCCTGCGATCCCAGCCCAAGCGCCACAGCCGGTGCAGCCACAGCCAGCGCAGCCACAACCAGCGCAGCCGCCGGCGCCGGAGGAGAAGGCGGAGAAGCCGAAGAAGCAGAATCCCTGGGATTCCCGGCTGATCATCCAGGCCGCTCAGGTCAGCATGGCGGAGAACGAGCCGACCCCCGCCGAGTCGGCCCTGCAGACGAAGGCGGGCCGCATGACCCAGCGCGTGGTGCCGAAGCCCGAGCCGGCGCCAAAGCCTGCGGCCAAGCCCGAGCCGAGCCGGAAGCCTCCGGCTCGGGACAACCGAGACTCCCGCGACTCCAATCGCAAGGAGGGCAAAGGAACTCGCAAAGGCCAAGAAGGAGACCAGAAGGAGGAATGGAAGGAGGAATGGTGACCGGCCTAGTTGCCTCGATCTGTTTCATGCAAGTTCTGCAGATAGGCGGATAGAGCTGCTCATCTTGATAACGGGGGCTGGCCTTCAGAATCAGCCCTTAGTACAGCATGCTAAGGTGGAGCCAGGCTGACTCTAAGTGGGTGCGGCCCTAAGATGACTTTCATTTCCTAGACGCTCCAAAGGCACCTTGCCCCTGATGATTTCAGTGACCGTGCCACTTGTGTTTGTATGCCAGCACCTGGTCTTTCACTGGAGACTTTGCTTTGTACAACAATGGCCGAACTTGTATCCAGTAGACCTATCCTCACAGCGTTGTCTTGGGATCGGGGCTTCTGGCAAGCTGTTTAGACAGATAGATGCGCAGTAAGAGCACCTGAGCCACAATCAAAACCTGGGTAGATGAAGGTTGGTAAGGGACGATCCCAGCCATAAATAGCTGCGGATATCCGCCTTCTTAATCCTATACATGGTTCTGGGAATACGACCATTTTAGTACCGGGTTTCACCCCACCCACCCCACCACACCCCACCCCACCCCACCCCACCCCACCCCACCCCACCCCACCCCACCCCACCCCACCCCACCCCACCCCACCCCACCCCACCCCACCCCACCCCACCCCACCCCACCCCACCCCATGACGTGACGCCACTCCACCCCACCCCACCCCACCCCACCCCACCCCACCCCACCCCACCCCACCCCACCCCACCCCACCCCACCCCACCCCACCCCACCCCACCCCACCCCATGACGTGAGAAGTTGAGTGAAGACCTAGCGCCAACGAACGGGCCCCGCGCCCAGAACGGACGCTGGGATTGGAAGAGCTGGAATGACTGGGAGGGCAATGCCTGGAGCTCGGATTGCCAGCCTTCAGCCTTGCAACTGCTTCAGAGGGCGGATACGACTGATGCGAAGCTTGTTTTCACCCTCTGTAGAGAAATGGAGGTCTGCAGAGCCTGGGTGGAAGTGCAAGAATACTTACTTACCAAGCAAACCTCCCAGTCAAGGTTTGCCTTTTTCAGCGCAGTATTAGTTCTCAGCCAGGTCGGACAATCATCCCGTTACGCTGACTCATTGAGGCTGACAGCGACTGGCGAAGCAACGACTGGAAGAAGGGAGGCACCAAGACGACTGGCCTGCTGACCTCATTTCAGGGCTGCCGCCCATTGCTGCCTCCCTCGATCTCAAACCAGAAACCCATAGAGATTGCGAGCACGCTCTGGCTCCAGGTAGGTTAAACCCCGAATTCCAGCCCAGAATTGACCTCCTCCCGGCCCCCCAAGCCACTTCACAAGCTTTGGGATTTCACAGTTGACATTATTTCTGGATCAAGAAGTGATTTACAAATCTTGGTGGCTCCCAGCCATCCCCTTAGCTTTTTGAGCTTTTAGTATTTAGTGGTAGTGGTAGTTTCCATTTAAACTTTTAGCGGGGGATCTGAGGGCAGCCCAGAAATAGTTCTTGTCTTCACATGTGCAGCCGTGGTGCCAGCAGTTTAGACAAGTGGCATTCTCCGCTGCTTCACAAGCACAAAGCGTACTTTGCACTGCTGGCAGCATCGCATCCACTTGTCGGCGTTAAGCTGGTTGACATTTGATTTCCATAGATACAATAGATGGATATAGACTAAAACATATGAAATGATTTGATAGGATTTATATATATATATAGATAATACACATTATACATGACAAGGGCAGACGGTGTGTATTAGTGTGTATAATAGTACAATAAGCACATAAGAGTAAACTTTGAATACATAGTTTGCATGTACATATTATGTATGCCTCATGCCCCCCCCCCCGCAGATGTCCCCCCAAAAGTAAGGGTTCAAGTCCATGTTGGCTTTCCTCACCAAGCAAACTTCCTCAGGGCTCGCCCCTCAGAAAAACATGGCTTCAAGTTTGTGGCGGTTTGCCTCAAACAAGTCTCCAAATTCGAGTGCCTCAAACAAGCAACGTACCATTTTTGCACGTGTTTTTCGTCGGGCAAATAAGGGCTTATGCAGGGCTTAATAAGGGCTCGGCTTATTCATATATTTTTTTGGGGGGGGCTGATTTTTCATACCCTCTGCGTGTTTTGGCACACCAGGCGGTTTAGCGCCCAAAAAGAAACAAAACACACAAGCCGGCAACAAGTAAGGGGTTTGTTGGGGCTGTTCAGCCAGTTTGTCCAGTCTGAGGATGCAATGGTCCAGTAGATGGTCATATGAAAGATTAGAGGCTAGGCTAATGCGCAACAAGTTTGTAGTTGATGTCTGAGCAACGTCCTTATTTAGGGTGACCTTCATGAAAACCAATAATACTGTCTTATTAGGGGCTTAATTAAGGGCCTAATAAGGGCTTATGTAAAAACACCTTCTGGATCCATCTTATCTCTTTGCCCGGGGGGACATTGGGGGGCGGGGGGACATGGGGCCTACATGAATGAATATACGATTAATATGAAACCCAGCGGTTTATTCCTTCATGCCTCAAAAGAGAAGACCCGGTGAACCTTTAAATGGATCAGACATAGAATTGGTATAGAATAGATAGAGAGGGACAGAAAAGCAGCCAAAGCCACGGGAGAAAAAGACGAACCCAAGCAGCGAGAATGAAGAACAACGCGTATGCAAACACGACGCTGAAATCCGCATGGAAAACATGAACAGCGAAGCCCAGAGGAATGGAAACGGCCATGCAAGTAGACAAGGATACACGTAGCGCTCCACGCCTATGGATGTGCAGTACATGTACAGAGAGGATTGCAAACGGACAGCGGCTTTCGCCTCTTTTCCAGGCGAAAGCCGATGTGCTGTAGCATTCAAAGTGAAAAGCGCCAGTTGCAGCACATCGAGTCGAAAAATGACATGACTTCGATGTGTTTGTGTGTGCTTCTGTGTGCTTCTCTCTGTGTGTGTGTTGGTGTGTGTGTGTTGTTTGGTTGGTTGGTTGGTTGGTTTGTTTGTTTGCTTGTTTGTCTGTATGTCTGTTTGTTTTTGTGCCTTTGTGCATGTGTATATACGGGTATATGTATGTTCCAACCGCTCCTCGCCTCACGCCTTTCTGGAGCCAGCGGCGGATGTCGATTTATTTGTGAGGAGCCCCTTTGATTGGAGGAGTCAGCTTCTAGTGCGGCTCAAAATCCTGAATCCTGGCAGGCAGTTGGCAGTGGCAGAAGAAGACCGAATCGCAAGGACAGGGTGGAGCTCGGGAGGAATCGTGAGCTTCAACTTGGCTTACGGTTTGTCAGGGCTCCTCAAAAGATACATTTTGCCCATTTGAAACATGATTTTTTTCCACTAAAATAAAGAGAACCCACCATTTCCAAAGCAACGTTCAGGTGTATAATGTAAGGATCCCTGTTTGTGAGCAAAGGTTTCCTTGGCTGACTGGTACAACTTGAAGCGACAGCTGGGCATGAGCTTGGAGATGCAAAGGGCGCTTGCAGGTTGGCAGAAGAAGGATAAGGGTGACAAGGAAGCCCCAGGCTGGAGGGAGCCTGCCCTTCAATGGGAGTTGGGGCTGAGACAAGGTGATTGGCCACGCCCGTCACATTGGTCTAAGCATGCTTAACATGTGGCTGTGGTTGTCAAAACCAATCGGATCCCATTTTGGGGTAGGTGCACCACCCATTTTAGTCTATTTAGTGGGGATTGGGATGTTCACTGGGGGTACGGCATTTTGACCCATGGCCATGTTGGAATCAAATGAGTGACCCCACTGGGACTTTCTTGGATCTTTGCAGGTTGGAGTCGTCGTCCATGCCAGGTGACACCCAGGAAGAGCCTACCAGCGCTGCAAGCGCCGGCTGAGAGGGGTCTCACCCGGCTTGGGAGATCTTGGGACAGCGCCCCCTTTGAAGAGAAGTGAGGCATCCACCCTGCGGGCATTTTGAGCCTTGAGCCGGCAAGGAATCGGGTAGCTGGGCACTTGCTTAGCTTCTCACTAGCTGCTCAGCCCAGCTGAGCTAGACGGACGGAGCTCCAAAGACGCGAGTCGGGAGCCTACGTGCAGGCCAAGGCCAGTGAGCCTAGTCGCAGTGAGCATGCAGGTGGCACGTTTCAAAAGCTGAGCCTTGCTGACTTGAGAGAAGCGGCGCGCTTCGCTTTTCTCATCAGAGTCGCAGCTGACCAGTGCTGGCATTGGTCGCGGAGGCCAATCGATCCCGCCCTGTGTAGTTGGTATCCTCAGCCATTTGGGCCGAGCCACAAGAACCCCGGACGACGGCAGACTTCCACCACTCAGCAAGCTGACCTCAAAACGCCATTGCGCCCCCCAAGACTTAGAAGGCAGCTTGTAGCCACTGCAGATGACGGAAGAAAGGTCTTGCCACCCATCATTTTCAAACATCAAACATGCTCTTATGCGCAGTTCGGGCCTACCAGATACTACCAGCAGTTGCCTTGATGAGCACAACTTGATCTTAGTGCTGCAATTGCCAGAGCTGCTTTGGCCAGCGATAGCCAGAGCCCCTGCTGATCATAAAAACCCTCACTGGTTGGTTCATGTTATTCGTGCCATTGATGCCGAAGCAATTGAACGACGGGGAATGTGTCAACATAAGGCAAGAGGATAGCTTTGGATTGCCGCAGTTCTTTGGATGGTGTGCCTGTTGTACACTGGGAGGGCTGGACTTGCTTACACACAAAAGATGACAGTGCCTGTTTGGTGTGTTGCAAACCATTCACAGCCACCTGTTGAGGCGGAGATTCGCACTGACTTTCACGCACGGGCCTCAAAGACCTCGCATGTTGACCGAACGTACAAGGATCCCCGGACCAATTACATGAACTCGTCAACGGGGTGTGTCTTTCCCCCAGTCACAAAGAATCGTGAAAAGAACACATTGCAGGATGTCCAACACGCTTCCATTTTTCGAACATATTTGAAATTGAAGACATTTGTCCAAGTTTCTCGGGCAGCTTCGCGGCAAAACTCACAAATCACACACTGGCACGACGATGTTGGTCAAATAGTGAGGTAGCTGGCTTTTCTTTTTTAACCTCCCCCCCCCCTCCCCCCTCCCCCCTGCCCCTCCCCTCCCCCCGCTCCCCCGCTGCACATATAAAAAGAAGAGCGTCCCTGGAGGTTTGTTCATCTTCCAAGTTCCTGCCTGTCTTGGGGTTTGGCCTCGAGGCAAATCTGGACAGTCCTCTGTGCAGGTCCATGGCTCCTTCTGAGGCCGGGTGATCGCGTGCCGGAGTTCATGTGGGTATGGGTCAAAATGAAACCACCAGGGGACCACAGGTTTTGGTCCAGGTTTCCACTTGCTGGGGTTCCATTTGGGGTACCTATTTTTGACCCACAGCCATGTGTGATCGCGTGCGCTCTCCGCCCTTGTAACGGAGCTTCGTGATCCAAAGGGACACCGTGGAGGGTGAATTTCGAGGGCAGCGTTTGCCATTTTCATTGGCAGCCGGGGATGCGAGCTAAACGGGGCGCTTCAAAACTTGCACCAGTACTGGGTACCAATATCGAGTCGACCCAGCCTTGAAGCAACATACTGTTCCCACTGGGCAAATGGTTGAAAGGTCGCTTTTTTAGCTTTCTGTCAAAATGGTGGACCCCCCCCTCCCCCCTCCCCCCCTCCCCCGGATTCAAAGGGAGACCAGGAAAATCGGATTTGGGGCCCCGGTAGCATTGGCCAAGATGGCTTTGAGCCCAGGCAGAGTGCGAGTTCCAGAAGCTGCAGCGGGAAGGCCGGTTTGTCAACTTCGACCGCCGGTTTGTCAACTTCGACCGCCGGTGACCTGAGACCGGGCGACGAGGCGTAGGAATTCTTGGAAAAGCATGAGCATTGAGTAAGCTTGAAGTTGACACCTAGGACTGGGGTTTTGAGGATTCAAAACAGAGGAATAAAAACAACACACACACACACACACTGACACGCACACATTCAGGGACGATCTAGTCCTTAGCAACGACATATTGATTAATGTCTACTTCGAGGCTGATATTGGGGCAATGCGCCTTAGCCTGTGAAACAATGGGCACAAGTTGAAGTTGGAGCCTCAGGTTGGCATAGACCTTGATGCCATCCTTGGTTCTTAAGTGGCAGGTTGGATAGTAACTTTCAAATTATAGAAAGACATTGCGGGCTGCCCCAATTTTCTGTTTGTGGGTAAATAAGACCAGCCATAACCAGAGATTGCAAAGACAGGTTCTGGGCGTTGTCAGCCTATGACAATTCTTTGCACTGCCAGGCTATATAGTCATCCAGGGCGTACTGGAGCCAGCCTTGTGCGAGGCACGGCCAGAGAGGTATAGGTAGGGACCTTAGGGATGAAAAGACCTGGCTGGTTGCCAAGAGAACTGGTGCCCCAACAGATCAGCTCGATGCACTTGTGCCAGGCCTTGCGTCAACACGTGCTGCTCTGCACTGATGAGGCGAGAGGTCCTCCGCATTGAGGGCTGGCAGCTGGCTAGGTTGGCTGGCTGGTGGGTGGGGCGGGCGAGCAGGCGGGTTGGTGGGTGGGTGGGTTGGCGGGCGGGCGGGCGGGCGGGCGGGCGGGCGGGTGGGTGGGTGGGTGGGTGGGTTTGTGAGCCGCATCCGCAGCATGGTCAGCCTCATTGGCCAGTGTCGGCCCTGACTTGCGGGCAGTAGATTTAGGTTGCTTGAGGATTGCTTAGGTATGTGGTTAACCGAGTTTTCAGCTGGTTTGTGGTTTGGTGTGTCGACCACCCTGGGGTTTCAGAACTTTGCCAGCGCAAAAGAGGTTCCCTGAGGTCTCTTCGGTCTCTTCCGTTCACCTCGAGAGATGAAGGATTTGTTGCTACTGATTTCCAGTGCTCAGGACATCTCTTAGGTGCAGGAGTTGAAAGCAATGCACTGCTTTTCAGAGGGGCATCCAGGGGCCGTGTGCCAAACGCGTGCCTCTCCATGGCAGTTTCAATTTTTGCATTGCCGTTGCAGGCTCACCGGCAAAACCGTCTGGACCTCTTCGGGAACATCCAGGAGGTGGGGCGCCGAGATATTCAAAAGACCAAAAGTACCAAACAAGTGCCAGTCCAGCCCAAGTGGCATCCCTAAATCCTCTCAGGTCGCAATTGCTCCAAGGTGGTAAGGAAATACTGTGGATGGACGAAATCCTGCACCACTTTGCAACCATTGAAAAACCATTGCTTGTTGGTATTTACAGGGGGATCATCATTCCAGGGTTTCTGAACGGTGGTGCCTAAGAGGATTTCGCAACCATCCACAGTGTGTCTGCGATATTTTTGTCATTTTGGATCCCAGCCATTCCCACAGGCCCGAATCCTTCATGCAGCCACTCCACTGGGTCAGCCTCTCCGCGAGGCGGAGCACCGCAGCGACCTGAAGCTGGACCTCTGCGAGCCCGTGGTGGAGGCCGTTGGGCTTGACTCTTGGCACTCAGAGGGTGCCAGGAGAAATCGAAGCGCGTTTTTTTGTTGCACAAAAACGCCACAAAGGACGCATCTCAAGAAGGCGGGCTTGGGAAGGCTTTTGACTTTGGACCCCTTTTGCAGGGACAACATGGAGCCGCGCGGGGTGTTTGCTTTCTTTTTTTGGACTGGGCGGAAGAAGCCACTCTGATGTCGGGCCTTTGCGCGCGAGGCGCTCAACTGCTTCAGCGCGCGCTGCCGAGATCTGCTCACGCGCGGCTCGGAGCAGATGGCCGCGTTTCGGGCACTTGGAAAATGACAAACGGACACGCTCCGGAGACTGGGGTGGTCAAAATTGTCAGTTTCTGGGGGCCATCAACATGAGCAGAGTTTTTGTCAGATGAAAGGGCTTATTGTAAACGCTGCTCGCTGCCTTCCTCGGCCAGGCTCAAAAGAACCATAAGAACAATGCGGGCTTGAGCAAATGATGCTGGCTGGGCTGAGCGGTTGGGGGGGTTGGATCTGGACTCCTATTAGAGGACACGTCATTGTGCTTTGTCTCGCGTGCGTCGGTGCTCACAAGCAAGCTTGGCGTGATACATCATAGAGCTTCGCATGGCCTGTTTTGCAGGTTTTAAGGAGGGAGAGCGGCTACACGCGCGTGTACGCATTGTTGGGAGCTGGAGCAGCCAAAGTGCAACTAGGGGTCAGACGGGCTGTCTTGGCGGCCGTTTAGGGGGTTGTCATTGCCACTTCGGGGATGTCTTCTGGGAGGTGCTCTTGGGGATGTCGTTGCGAAGCTTTGGGGTTGGCGGGGGGCTGTTTTGGGGGGTGTTTTGAGGGGGTGTTCCGCGGCTGTCTCGAGGTTAAAAAAGGTCTTCGGGGATGTCTTTCTCGCGGATGTTTGCGGGTTTGTTTTCTGAGCTTCATTGCGGCCTAGCGTTTCTTTGCAACTCGGGGTGGTCTCTGCGTGCGTTCAGGGAGGCGCGCTTGGGGTGCCTTGGAGGGCAGGCGTGCGCGCGCTTGCGCGAGTGTCATCTTCGTTGGCCCTGCGCCAAAATTGGTCGAAATCTGTCTGGCGCCGCAGTCCCGTGGAAAGTTTGGATGCGTGTCGGAAGCGTGTCAAAGTTGGAACTCGTGACAGGCGCAGCGCTCTGGAGGATTTTGAGTTCGTGGCAAGCTTTGCGTGACGGGGTGTCAGGCAAGGCAAGCTTTTCGTGCAGATTTCGTGGCAGGCGAAGTGCTTTGGCTCTCGTGGCACGCAATTCTGTAGAGCTCGGCGTGCAGGTTTTGTGGCAGGCGCAGTACTTTGGAGCTTGGCGCGCAGAAATCGTGGCGAGCGCAGCGCAGGTGATGTCTCGGCTGGATATCTGCCGATGGTGTCTTGGGAGGGGTGTCTTTTTGGGGAGTGTTGGGGTGTCGTTGTTTGGCGCTCCATCCTGCTTTGATTGATCAGGCTAGAGTGCAAGCGCGGGCGGAAGCAAAGCGCCTCGTGCTGTTGGGGATATCACCTGAGTTTTTTTTGAGCGGGGGGTGGGGTTGGAGATTTGTTTCTGGAACATGTTTTTGCACATATTCTTGGGGACGTGCGCTGTTTTTAGGAACATTTTAGGAGATATCTTTGGGGCTGGCTGTGGGGTTTTTTGTTGGGGCGCACGCCGGGGTGTCTACGGATATGTTTTTTTTGGGTTTCTTTGGGAACGCTTTGTTCGTGAGGATGCCTTTGGCTGGGGATGGGCTTGGACATGGAGACTGTTTGGGTGGGTGTAGGTGTGGGTGTTGGGTGTGGGTGGGTGTGTGATTCGGGGTTCACGGCCTTTATCAGGTTTTCAATTATGGTTACTATGGGGTTGGCGCGGGCACGTGGAGCTTGGGTCCTGGAGTGCTCCCTGATACGACTGCGCTCGGGTTTGGCAAGCGATCAGCCAGCCCTACTCGAAAGGTAGTATTGGGGACTCAGCATGACAAAGCTCTCCAAGCACAGCTCACAACTGAGTCGTTTCCTTGTAACCTACCACTTGTGGGGGTGACTTGAGGATGGGAAAGACATGAAACTAGTAGGAGAGCTGACAAACAGGTACTTTACCTCACACACACACACACATCCTTAGGGATCCACCACATCCACCTCACTTTTTTCTAGTCCACTGTTGGCTCTTGTGGCTACGAACGTGTCCAATGTCCCTGATGGCAGAACTGTTTGGCAGAAGCTGCAAGCTTGTTCTCAGGTACTATGGGCGGAGATGCTCGCATTGCCGCGTTGCTCAGAACTTTTGTCATGCTTGCGTTTTGGCCCGGCGCAAAGTGAAGACCAGTCCTTCAAGAGCGCGTTTCTGGGGGTAAGCATCAATAAGCCTGGGCGACTTTCTGATCACTTTGATGCTGGTTGGTATGATGGATTTACACCAAACTGAGCTGGGGAGGTTTCACAAGCTCCCAAAGGCCTCGTGTCACGCGGCGCCCCAAGGTCGAGTTGGCGGCCATCAGCAGCAGCAAAGGCCAGCGGACATGGTCGATACACTTGACGAGTTGGATCTCATCGCGGTGGTGAAATATCATGAGTTGGTGGTCATCGACCCCTCAAAACCGAACTTTGCACAGGACTACTGAACACGAATCGAACTTAGCGCACGAGAGGGGTGATTTTCAAGGTGCTTACAGCGCACGTTGGCTACCCTTGCGATGTGTTAGCTTTGGCACAGCGGCTCAACTGGCAGCACAATGTGTTTCATTCTGGATCCAGGTGCGGTGGCGCAGCCAGTCCACGCGGACACCATGCACGGCGTCACGCGATTCTTGCAGAGTGATATAGCTCTCCACGATGCTCGGCGTCCCAGAATCGGAGTGGAAGGCTTGATTGTTTGGTCGCAGGTTGGTGACCCATTCTCTGATGCAACGCTTAGATTTAGGCTCAATTCATTCATAGGCTTAGGCTCAATTCAGCCATAGTCGTCACGCCAGCGATGGATTGTGTTTTGCCCCACAACATCGGCATGGGATGACAGAAGAGCAGCAGCTGCGGCTTGCATTGCACTTGGTATTACTATGGGAATTATGGCCTCATTCTCACTGGGATTGATGTCCACCACCCCTTTCGAGTTGCGAGGGTGTTGAGCATGCAAACTCATGGCCATTTTGATAGATTGATGCTTCGTCATCGTGCAGCCATTTGCTTGTGGCTCATGTGGCCTGCATGGAGGCTCAAGCGGCTTGGCAAAAGCGACAAACAGGAATGCACACAGAGGCTAAGTAGAGTAATAAGTTGGAGACATGCCATGCTCAAGTTTCACACAGTTCGACCCGCTTCTTGCTGCATCTGAATGTCAGCATTTCCGGTATGCCTTAAGCTCAGACATGAACTGGTGGCCAGAGAACCATTGATTCACCTCCATGTGGCCCAGCCATGGCAAGCGAGTGTGGCGGGAGAGCCCCGAGTATGCGAGGCTATTCACGGAGGCAGCCGGCGCGCCCTCGCTAAAAGAGGCCAGCGGTGACTTGAGAGGACTTGCCTCTGCTTTTGGATCATCTTTCCTCGCCAAACAAAATCTACAAGCTGGCCTTGCCTTATGATGATTTGCAGCTTGGCATCAAAGAAACTTCTGAAGCATGAATTAACAATGATTGTTGTGCACCAACAACAACTTGTTCGGCATCAATACAAACACTGATTGCCACTTCCAAAGCCGTCGGCATGCATGAATTCCATTGCATCTTGGACCCTGAACTTGTGCAATTCTTATGCCAAGGACATGCCGCGCGGATGACCTTCATTCGATCTTACCCATGTGTCACCTGTGCAACCTTCTCACACGATCAACAGTATTATCCTTGTTCAGTGGCTTTCGCGCGAGCGCTGTAGTGATCTCTGTTTGCTCCGGCTTTTACAGGGCCCGCCATTTCCCATGTGTTGGTGCCACCCTCCTCTGATTTTTCAGAGAGATTAGCTCAATTAACCCCAGACAGGTTTTCTAGAACCCTTCCAAGAACTAAGAAGGCTCTAACAACCTTTCCCTGGAATTGGGGGTGGGGGGAGCAAACGGGGGGCCAGTGGGAGGTTCCAAAGAACCTGTCTGGGTCTAAACACCTCTCAGGGTGGGAGGGTGGGGGGCTTGAAGTTCTTCTTCCGGCGCTAAGAGACGCGGTCGAAGCGTCGCTCGCGCTAAAGCGGCGGTCGGCCGTCGGCCGTCAGGAGCGGCCGCACCTGGCACAGGTGCGGCCCGAGCAGTTGCAGGGCGCCGCGGGCGCTGCCCGCAGGCCGGCGCGCGCAAAACACGCGAAGTCGGAGTCGTGGGAAGGTCCGTCCCCCAGGGGTTTCGGTTTGGGGGAGAGGTATGAAGCAAAAGGGGGGGAAGGACCTCTTTTCATCAAAATCCAAAAAAACCTCTTCCAAATCAATAGCAAATGCTGATTGAGCTCCAAGAAAGAATTGTATGCATCGACAAAAGCTTATTTGGGAGTCGTTCTAAATTGCCAGTCTTAAAATTAAGTAAAGGGAGGTTCTGAAGGTCTAGCGCGAAAGGAAAACACTGCATCGCGAAAGGCCGGCGAAAGGAACGCGAAAGGACTTGAAACATAACGAATACATGGTAGAACCCTCGTTTGGGCTCGGAAACAAGTTTTTCAGGACTGGTTTGTCACCGCGAAAGGAAAACATGGGGCCGCGAAAGGACCGCGAAAGGCCGGCGAAAGGGCCGTTTCCAGGAACTTTTATGTTGAACAACCCCCATTTGGCATCCATCAAAACAAATTAGGCATCAATAGAAACTTAGTAGGCATCAATCAACTTGTAGCCATTCCGAAAGGAACTGAGAAGGAAGGAAGGGAGGCAGGCAGGCAGGAAGGAAGGAAGGAAGGAAGGAAGGACTGCCTGGTGCTTGTGGCACTCTGCCGGGCTGGGGGGGTTGCCCTCCTCCCCCCCAACCCCCCGCCTTTATAGTCCTTACCTGGCTGATGCTGTTGTTTGTGCTTGCTCGACTCGGGGCCGGGGGGGGGGGGAGGACTGCGCCAAAAGACTTAGTTCTGCAAATCCAGAAAATGTGAGGCATCAAACAAATCTGGTTAGGCACGATTTTGCTGCAATACAAGCCTGGACACTGCGTTGTTACAAGCGCACATTTGGCTTACACAAAAGAACCACTTGTGGGGCATGGCCAGGGTTGCTTTGTTCAAAATTTGTTGCTTCGGATGGGTCTACGGTGGGTTGTTTAGGGTGTGAGAATTTAGGAGTTTGGGGTGGGTTTAGGGTTGGTTTGGGATGGGTTCAGGATGGGTTTAGGCTGGGTCTAGGGCGGGTTTAGGGTGAGTTATGCTCGACAAGTTTGTTTGTGATGCCTAATGAGTTGTTGAGATGCCGCAGTTTCCAGTTTTTGTTGCAATGTTTTGTAGCAACATTGTGCCCAAGAACTCAATGTCGATGCTTAGGAAGTGTTTTTTCCTTGTCGTTTAGACATTCTCTTTTATTGATGCTTCATATTTTTGTTGATGACTTCTGCCCTTATCAGGAAGCCAGCAATTTGGCTGGGGTCAGAAATTTGACTGTTTCTGCGGCTTGTCAAAGTCAGAAACGGAGGTTGTTTCCTTTGAACCTACCACTTGGGGCGTGACTTTGATCATGGTGAAATACTGGGACCAGTTTGGAAGAATTCCCTCCACGTGGGCCTGGCGCGAATGTGGTTGGTCCGGCAAGCAGCGAGGGCAATGTTGGCTTTCTTGAACAGACGACAGCAGTTATTTTTGCATAGTACGGCGACGTGGAAGTCGAGTGCTTTACGGCTTTGGAGTAAAAGCATCACCGGAGGGTCAAACATTTGGGCCCCAAGCGTGGGAAAATGCTGCACTGGCGCACTTGTTTGCAAGGTGTATGACTGGGAACTGCTATGGGAAGAAACACAACTTGTTTCATTTGTTACTTTGGTTTTTGGCTCGGAGCAAGTGTTTTAGGGCACAAAGAAACACGGTGTCCTTGTCCTTGTTGCAGGCCAGCGCGGGACGAGGCCTGGGCTTGCGCAGAACAGAGTGAATCGACGCAGAGGGCTGCTTCTTCCTCGCTCCATGGCCGACCACTTGTTGCTGGAGCGCGACAGCGATGGCAAAGCTATCTCAGCCCACTCGGATCCATATAGGATCACAGACCCTCGTTTTCTCGGGCTTGATAGTGACCATCACCCAGTTCATGTTCGCGCCATGACAAGACAGAACTCGGCGAGCCACTGGTCAGGTGGAAGTGGCCAAGCGGGAACGGCCTGACTACGAAGGCTGGACAGAAGAAGGGCAGCGAAAGAAACGGAGTGTCATGTTGGAAGTTTTGAAGAGTTCATGCCCTTCCACCAACACACCAACAACAATTGCACGCTTGCACACACACACACACGTTTAGTCAAACAGACTTACACTTACACTTGTTCTTACACACACACACGCACGCACACGCCCGCCCGCCCGCCCGCACGCGCGCGCGCAGACAACCACCAGGCACAAAACCGCATAAGGAGACAAAGAAAACACACAAACACAACACACACGCAAACACGCAAACCCACAAACAAGCGAACGAACGGACAGCAAGACAGGCAGACAGACAGACAGAGAGACAGACAGACAGACACAGAGAAACAAACAGACAAACAAACCCACATGCACACACACACACACACACTCACACACACCTATGGACACAAAGATAGCGCTCTCATATCACTCATGTCGCCTTCCTGATGGACGGTTTGCAATATGTTCAACGTTATGGCCTCCATTGTGCTGAATGCGAAGACGGGCGATGTTGTTAGACTACATTCTGAAGATTCCAGAACTGTGGAGATTTGTTGTGTCAGCGGGCTTTTCTGACCAACTGAGCAGGATGATAGGTTTCAGTTGCAACCCCTGGCCGTTTGAGAGTCACCCTGGGGGACAGGATAGGGCAAACCGATGCGTTTAGGCACTCCCTTCAAAGGACTTGTTCAATACCAGTAGATGCATCTTGACGCCAAAGGATGGCTGCATTTCTCCATCCTTGCGTGAAACCCTTTGCCACTCGCAGAAATTGTGAGTCTGCAAACCCTTCGAAGGTGCTGCCGGCAAAAGGGTGGTGCCTGTGGTCTGGAGATATCATGAGACGCCCGCGGAGACGCCCCAGGACCGGGTGTGGGGAAGGTGTCCAAGTCCAGAAATCTCTTGGGTATTCCACAAAAGATTCCCCGTTGTGCCATATATGTCACAGCTAAGCATTCCTTGTGGCCAGAGGAAACAAGCATGAGACTCGTCACTTGAGTCTGAGGGGTCCTTGGTTTTGACATCCCAAATGGTTGGGGCGCCAAACAAGCAGCCCTTGCCATGGGCGTTGGCCCGCAACCTTTGCGCTTGTGCCCCAAGGGTCAGATCGCACCGGGCTGCTTGGATTGGAGAGGTGTTTTGTAGTACTCTGTTGCAATGAGACTAGATCTTTCACAGGTTCCCTTGTCCAGGCTTGCCTGCCTGGACATTTGCACGGCCTGTTTTTAGTCACCAAAGCAAACAGTATTGATGGGATGTCAGTTGCGCATGGAGCTGGCTGAACGAGTTCAGCGGGCGGAGTTGGGTTGGGTGCTCGTGTAGAGTTGATGTTGGGGCTTGCTGACAACGGGTCGGCGTTGCGTCGGGCCGATTTGTGCGCTGCTCTGCCTGGGCTTAGGTCGGGTTGCTTTGGATCAGGATGGGGTTGCGTGAGGTTGGGCTGGGGGGCGAAACAAATCACTTTGTCCAGAGCAAGCAAACCAGCAAACTAACTAAGCAGCCAAGCAACCAGAGTAACCAACCAAGCCACCCAAGCCAACGAGCAGGCAAGCGAG